TTAAAGCTTTTTCGTTTGTTATTTTGCAGGTTATTTCAATTTTTTTTTTTTTTCCAATGTCATCACGCTGTGGGGCTTGAGGCGACCTTTGCTGGGTGATACCTAATAAAAAAAAAAAAAAAAAACACCACTCTTTCATGGTCTGCCCGTTCACCGTGAACGGCCGTTCACAAAAAAAACACCAAATGAACGGCCGGTCACGTTCAAGTGACCGGTGCCGTTCACGTTCAGGGTGACCGTACTGGACTGGAGCATTTGTCAAAAAAAAAAAAAAAAAAAGCTCAGAAATTCGTTCGTTCGCGTCTCTGGTAGACTGGTACTATTCTCCAGCAGACTGTCAGTATCCCTATGGGGCAAGTCTTCTAGCCCGGCTCTTGCTTTGTATCCCTATTGGCAAGTCTTCTAGCCCGACTCTCACTTGTCTGTTATGTGTGGACAATGACTTTGTGTTTTGATCATCTCTCGGTCGTGATGCAAGACTTGTTCATGGTTTTGGATTAGTTGATGATGTGTCCGTGTTTGTCATTTGTGAACAGAAGAATGTGAGATCCTCCCGGCTTGGACAGTCGATCCTGCACAAGGTTAAGTCATGTTATGATAGCAAAGGACCCCACCGGAATGCGGAAAGGAAGAATGTTTCCGCGAAACTGTTTCCGGGACCCCACATGCAGCGCAGGACGTTCTGGCAAAACCGAAATGTCTTCCAAATACCGGTTTCCGAGACCCCACAACCCGCAAATAATGGCGTGGAAGAACGCTTTCCATCGTTTCCACATCGTCCGCGGCGTGGAAAAGTGGCTCCGGAGGACATCTCGCCGCGATTTTGTGCGGAAAGTTGAGACTGGGGGAAGGAGTGCGCGGGGTACTTTCCAAAGTCTCGCCCACCGTTTGGACCAGCAAGTGTCCGGCCCCTTGGCCTAGCCCGGTCGTGGAGCAGTGAGCAGGCAGGACATGCGTCGCACGTCGAAACCGGGCCTAGGGCTGTTGGTCCCTCGGAGCGGGGAAGGAAACGGGCGGTTGTGGCCCCGCCATTTTGAATTCGAATTCAAATTCGAACGGGGGTGCGCCCGGCGTTGTCGTCAGCAGTTCACGGATGCAAGGAACTTCCACCACTGTGCATGTTCACGACGGCCATTTGCTATTGTACCCGACACGTGGCTTCTGCTGGTCTGTCGTGCCGTGGAGTCGTGCATCAACAGTGCTGTCGTGCGCCTCCCATGCACGTAGTCCGCCATCTCCGTTGCCGCACTGTGCCATGGCCGTCGGTTGGCCGACGTGTGCATGGTCTCGCGGGTGACTTCATGCGTCGTAGGTTTGTGGCGGATGTGCAACCGCTGTGGGGACGTGGTCGGTGTGTTGGAGTACCGCTTCACAAATCCATCTCCTCCATCCGCCGAGCATTGTCCACCCACGTGCCCTCCCTTGGTGCTGTGGAAGTTGGGAGCGTTGTGCGTGCTGTTCGCCCGAACATCAGGAGTGTCATCGGTAGAAGCTTCCTGCCCGAAGCGAACGACATCACACATGCAGTTGAACGTTGTGGCGGTCGAGGGCAGATCGTCGAGAAAGGGCTGAGAGAACGGGACGTGGCTGTTGCGGGGACTGTTTATGCACGGCCGAACGTCGCACACCCGCCACTATCGACTGACACGACTGCTGCACAAGATTGTGTTCTGGGTGGTGGCAGGGCTTGTCCGTGTCCGTGCCTGCGAGATTCGACCGGCACGACGGTGATCGTCATCGACGTCGGCGACGTGAGAGGGGGGGTGTTGGTTCGCGCACGTTCCTCTGGGGCTTGTTTATGATTGTGTCCGTGTTTGTTTTGTTCCCCGTCGTTGTTCTCCTCTGTTTGGGCGGTGTAGTGGTCGCTCTTCTCGCCACGCGTCGGTAGCGGTGTTGTTCAGTTGCAGAACCGGGTATCTAGGGAGACGTGCGAAAGCCATGGAACGACGTAGTTTCACTGATGATCTGTACAGTGATTTGGGGGCACCATTACATTCGCGAGGTTTCCAGGAAGGGGAAGCCATGGCTTGTGCCAACATTTGGGGTTCCCCTCCGGATCTTCCACGACAGTTGTCCCAGCCTCGGGCGGGGATGATGCCGCCCATCTCGCCAGTTCCTGTGGGCTGAACTACAGCAGGGGGCTGTTCCAACCACCCAACTCCGCATGGGTTGAGTGATCAGCAGTTGGCGGAACTGTCTGAGATGGGGGGGGGGAGAGTGCTTCAAGGTGCGTCACCCGCAATCGGTATGTTGTCGGTCGTTGGAGCTGCACAAGCGCCAAGAAACTCGGAAGTCCACTAGAGGAGAATGTCGGTTGACATGCAGGCGAGGGGGGTGGACATCAGTTCACCTGACCTGTTTTGCGCAATGGACCGGAGGGGATATCGATAGTGGCACAAAGAAGGCAAGAGCGAGTCCGAGCGACGCCACAACCGGGTTTCCAGGGAACACGGCCGGCGAGACAGGGGAGGCCGGTGTCGAGGGTCCGGGGATGGGAAACCGTGGGGAGAGAGCGGAGAAGGATGACGATGATGGAACGACATCCACGGCGGCGGACAAGATTAATGAAGGAGTCGGTGATCGAACCAGACCGCGTCCCGCGGGTGGACGGAAAAGGAAGGGGGGCAGCTCACCACGACCGCCGAAGAAGAACAACCCCTGGTCTTTGGAAGAGAGATTGGACCTCACGAAGTTCGCCAGCGAGGACGACGCCCTGATGGCCGACGCCGAAGGTGCTCAGGCGTGCATGACGAGGTCGAAAAGATGGGAGTGGGTTGCAGGAAGGCTTGGAGAAATCGGTTACTCTAGGACAGCGGAAGACTGCAGGAAGAAATCGGCGGAGCTGGTGAAGAAGGTGAGGGAGATACGGGATGCATGCGAAGGGTCGGGGAAACAAGCATACAGGGACACCACGACGGAGCAACGGAGGATGCTAGGGGTTAGCTTGACGTTCGAGCGGCAGTTGTGGGATGCTATGGAGTGGTCTCGGTTGAAGAAGTCGGTGACGTGTGACGACACACTGGCTTCGGAAGATTTGAGAGGGGGCGGATCACCGATCGGCGGCGAGGCGGGTTCGGAGGGKGGKGGGACAGATGCTTCAGACACCGCCACCAAGACACGACGTACGTCAAGCGGGAAAGCCCGGGGGGGGGATTCTCTAGCGTCGATGTACGGCATGGCATCGGTGATGGAGGAGTCAACGAGGGCGTTGTGTGAGGGTTTGGACAAGGCTGCCAGCACATTGGCTCGTGCGTCGACGGACGGATCCAGGATGGTTGCTACGGAGATCGGGGCTGTCGCAGGGGCGATGCGGAAGGGCAATGCCATTTTGGAAATGCTTGTCGGGGTTATGGCGACGAGAGGTGCACGGAGTGGTCGGGGAGCGGACGACAGCTGCGATACGGACCCCTCCACAAGTTAGTGACCGACCGTCGGCGGCGTGGCT